ATTTTTTTTCACCCTTTTTTTTTTAAAAAAAAAAAAAAAAGAGGGGTTATGGAGAGAAGATATGTAAAAGAGGCAATGAAAGAAAAGATGATTAGTGGGACAGAAAGATAGAGAGAGAGAGAGAGAGAGAGAGAGAGAAACTCGTATTGAAACAGATGGAATTTAGAACTACCATAAAACTTCAAAGTTGGAACGGTGAAGAAAGTATTCCATAAACTGTGATGAAAGTAATTTGCCTTATTAAGAGTATGTAGAAGGACGTGAGTGCCATGTAACTAGCCGGGTGACTGTTCAAAAAGACGTTTTTATTTAACAAGCTTCATGAAGCCTGGATGATTATTTTTAAAAAAAACTTATCTCGAGAAGTACTCTCAGAGAAATATTTTCATGCAACTACAACGGTCGATATTTCCCTCTTAATTATATGATAAGATAGAAATAATATATAATTCTGCATATGAAAATCAAAACAGTGTGTGTTGAGCGAGATTTCCTCCTTCAGCATGAATTCAGCTAGCTCACCGTTCTATGCGTTCGCTGTTAGGCCATACGAAGTTTTTTAAGCACTTAGGAATCTCAGAAGCATAGCTATGAATATAACGTTCGCTTCGGGACCCGTAAATCAAAAATTTACAGCAATCTGTTGAAGAGCGAATTGAAAGTTGGAGCTGGTTGAACATCTCACATAGTGTCCATCAACGAGTATTCGACCCGACCATCTATGACACCAAAATACCCTGGGGGAGCTAAATACATAGAAAATATGAATAATAGACGAGCTCTTTTGGTTGTGAGGAGAAAGTTTTGTAAAAAAAGGAGACAAGTGAAGAGAAATAAAAGAAGAGAAAAGTTATCTTTTGACTTGTCAAAAAAGTTTTATTTTGTTTGAAGTTAGAAAGTGAAAAGCTTTGCACGCACCTTAAGCTTCAGTCGACTGAACGACAATCGTCGTTCCGGAAATGAAACGATTCGCTAGAACGAATTGGGCAAAAGCTTAGAAAGGAGCGATGGAGAAACAGATTGAACAACTTAGTTAAATTTTGTTTGGCTTTGTTCAGAAGAAGCTTATGAGAGAAAAGAAGAAAGGAGTAACAGCATATCTTCAGATGTTCATGCCTCAGGGCGTAACTCTAATGCAACGATACTGATGAGGCAAATTGTAAATGCCCTGAAGACATTCAACGAAATGAGACAAAGTTTGAGCTATGTCCGACTCATGAGTGTATCAAGGCTTTAATAACGTATGCAAATGTTTTGTATTTGGATTTGAAGGGAAAGAGAAAGGGAGAGAGAGAGAGACAGGGATATAAGATCAAATGAGTCAAAGCACAAATTGACCAATATAGGGCAAGAGGACAATATGCCTCATCTGAATTGAGGGTTTGGGTAAGGAGAGAAATTATGAAGGCGACATACTGGCTGCTTGAATTCAAGCTTTGTTCAGTTTTAGAGTTTTTTGTCATTCTGAGACAATTTTCATAGTGAAAAGGGTCAGTTGAGAATGAAAAGAAATATCTGTTGGTTGAAATACATTTTTTGCTCTTGAGCATAAATTCACAATATGGTTATGGATTTTCATGTTGAAGAAATTTAATCAGAAGGAATATGTCAGAAGCAATGTTTTCTCTGAAATATAAGAGATTTGTTAGATTCATTGAATTATCTGATCGTTCACTGAAGAATCTTCATTTTGTCATAAATAATGAAATTATTCAATTTGTGAATACAGAAAACGTGGTTGTAATGACAACTGACGACCATTTAGTAAGCCACAATTTCTTTTTTTTGCCTGTTGCATCGCTGAAGAACATATGAAAATATACTTTTTCATCTGCATAGACATTTTGGATGCTAGCTCTGACTTCTTCATTATTCTGAGAAATTCATATCTTCATATCTGGAAAAAAAAATCCACAAATTAAGATAGCGGCCATCTAAGGAAGTTCCAGAATGTTATATATCCTTTGAAAAGACTCGTCAGTTGTTTGAAAGTAATTAGTGCTTTACACAGCTTTTAATTGTCTGACTAAAAAGTTCCCTTCCGAATGTTAAAGACAGAACAAAATTTAAAAAAAATACTTTATAACACATCATAAACACGACAGGCTATAAATAAGTTGAGAATCGTTCATAATTTGTTGTGAAATATCAGGATTACGGGTCGAACAGATGTACGCAATTATGCAAAAGAATGCAGATGTAGATATAGACTGTTTTGAAAGCTAATTTTTAGCTTGACGAAGGTGAAGAGCGGTTGCATTTTGAGTGACGGGGTCAATATTTCGGCTTCTTTCATGCTTTTTTAAGCTCAAAAAGATCTATTAATGATATGAATAGTACAGATTATAATATAAATATATAAAGAGAGGAATAGGTAGAAAGCGAAAGAGAGAGGAGGAGGGACAATCATCAAAATGCCTTTTGTGTTATGTTAGGTGTCCAAATAAAATATGAATGAGATAGAACGTAGAACGAAGAGAATCAGAAAAAAACAGATTGATGATAGTCTCTTCATCGTCATCTTCTTCATCTCTATATCTCCAATAAAGGATATGCTAAGAGCTGTAGCTTATTTGTATGACCTGTTCAATCGCGTATTTCTCTAATTTCTAGCTAAACTATGAGCTCTTTTATCATCTCCATCTCTCGTTCTCTTAACTTTATGCGGATGTCCATTTAAAGCTTTTACAGACACACAGATGCTATTTTCTATCAGTCGTACCGGACGATGACCATACGAATGGCGGCATCGTTCCTCATACTCCTACTAATTGCCTCATTTGGTAAGTTTTTCTTGAATTTATTGAATTTATTTGTTCTTACAGGTAACACATTCGTTATCAGTGAAATTTCCGCCGGTACTATCGGCGGACCATGCTTGGAAGGAAGAACTCCTTGCCAACAGAAGAATGCAAATTGTGTGGAACGAACATGTAGATGCTCGAATTTTTCACAGTTCGTTAACGGTACTTGCATCCCAAAAGATCAAAGTTAGTTTTGTCAGAATTTTTAGTTTCTGAATTGTTTCTGGATAGGAAATATTCCACATTTATTTGTTTTAATCTTTTTTTTTTCTATGACACTTTTTTTTGAAAAACTATTGACAACAGATTCTTTTCTATCTTTCGTACAATTTCTATTTTTGGATAATCCATTTTTTAAAATTAACCAGTAAAGTTGTCAAACATTGAACTACAATCTTCTTACTGTGTTACGCAAACTTCGGACAATATTTTTTGATTATTCACAATTTGTGCACTGAGTAAAGAACGAATATACTTGGGCTCTTCCAGGTAAAACTTTGGGAAAGCCTTGTCGAGGTGGAAACGATTGTACTGGCCAGGGAGAATTCTGCTCTTCTTTCTCAATATGCATGTGTCTAAGCACCCATGTTGATATTGGAACTTCTTGTGAAGCAGGTAAGCGAAGCTTTTTGAAAGAAATTAGCGAATATCCTTATGCAAATGTTTTCTCAATATGGTCAAGAGGCAGTAAGAAAGAGTTGCGTTAAGTTGTTTTGAAGGCAGCCGCTTGACCTAAGGACTCACTCAGCTGTATCTATACAGTACCTCTTGAAATGGTTTGCGAACTCTTTTCGAAGAGTTTCTAGTCAAACCTTCTCATTTCCCTGTTTGGACCTTGTGTTTACATATCATTCCTAAATAATTTTTTTCTCTCAAGCGGTTTATCCGGGACAGTTCGGATGTGAGGATTCGAGGCAATGTAACAAAGGTTTTCCCGGAGCCGAATGTGATTCGTCGAAACATTGTAAATGCCCGTTTGGAATGTTGGCATATCAACAAACTTGTGTAATTCGTGAGTTTTAAATTTTATTACTTTCAATGACTCATAGGAAGTCATCAATCATATTCTCCTCTCTGTCACCTGACTCCCTTCTTTTGAAATTTAAGTTGTAACACTCATGAATCACCATGAATCTTAAAATCATTTACTTCAAATCCTTGCCTCATGAAAAGCTTGTTCTTCTTAGCCTTAGGTACATTTTTAAAAGTTTCTTCTCCGATTCCAGCCTTCATATTTTTTTTCAGCGTCTACCGCATCGAACGTTATCCTCTCCGATGATCAATTTGGACGCCATCTTTTCCAGCAAGGCAGTCGATACTCTAATAACTTTTATAGAAGACGCTATAGTCCTACAAGCAATTCCGTTCTAGGAGTTCCTCCTGGTGTCGACCTTATTTTATCTTTTTATATTTTCTGTGCTATTTCAGACACTATTTGCTCCGCTGACTCGGATTGTGCCGGATATCCCTTAGCTTACTGTGATGGGGTTTGTCGTTGTAATCAAGGAGCTTTGAATGCTGGATCAACTTGTATATCTAGTGGAAACGGTTTGTCATTCATTTCTTAGTTCAAAATTGAAAAAGTCATGAGTCTTTTTACGAAATTTATGGTAATTTAGCTGTGCAGCCAGCCGGCTCGTGCCCACCTGGTCAAACATACGTCACAGAAACCGGATCATGTATGACAGGTATATATAAGCGTAATAGTAACATGGTAAAAACAATAATAATCAAGTTCAAATGCCTGGTGAACCATGTCAATATTCCCAACAATGTGCTGCTGCTGAGACAGGAGCGTTTTGTCTTCGCTTGAAATGCCAATGTATTTATGGAATGAGAGAAACAGGGGGTGGATGCACTTTTATCGACAATCAGTGTACTAAGAGGGGATCTATTTTCATCTCTGAGCTGGGCGAATGTCGAGATGGTTTGTAAGCTTAATTAACTATCAAGAGTTTTTAATGTTCCAGTCATCCCTCCTGGAGGACGTGGATGCTCTCATAGCCTCCAATGTACTTCGGCATATCAGGAATCAACTTGTTTCCTTCAAACATGTACTTGCCCTCCTACACATCCAGTTGCCATAGATGGAACATGTGGAAGGAATTGTTCAGCAGGAGAAACTTATTCGGGAGTAACTGGTCAATGCTTACCAAGTGAAACAATAGAGATCACTGACATATCTAACTTCCATTGCTTATAGCTGTTCAGCCAGGAGATCAATGTTTATATTCTTCTCAATGTCATTCAATTTACCCGGGGATGATTTGTGAACGAAGTCGTTGTCGTTGTCCAAACGGAATGGTTTCTCTTAATATTCGTAACTGGAAATAATTTGTTTCTTCAGGTGTTCTCTGGTTCAAAATGCTCACAAACATGCCCCACTGGCTTCATAATCAATAGCAGAGGTATATGTATGCCAGGTTCTCTTCACGTGGTAGCAAGAAGTGATAATAAAATTGTATAGGATGCCGGACAAATCAAGTAGAATTTGAAGGAGAGTGTTTGGACCAAGCTGCTCCAGACTCTCCTTGTGTTGTAAATGCTCAGTGTATTGGTGGAGCAAGTTGTCAAAACGGAGCATGTACTTGTCCTAAAGCGATGGTTGCACAAGGAAACGTGTGCAAACATGGTATCGACATTAACTTAGTTTGATTACAAAATGTGTTTCAAGCTGAATCAGCTCCTCTGGAATCTTGTGCTGAGGGGCAGCTTTGCACTGGTGGATCGTTTTGCTCCAATGGAAACTGTACGTGTCCTGTTGGAAGACAAATTGTTAACGCTCAATGTGTGACTCCCCAAACAGGTAAGGAAGCACGACGTTTTTTGCTAAATACTAACAATTACCCATGTTAACAAACACTTATAGTCCCTCCTAACAGTCCTTGTAACCCCTCCGTTAGTTGTGGCGGAGGCTCTGTATGCCTAAATAGTCTTTGCACATGTCCCACAAATCAGCAAATCGTAGATGGAAGATGTCAAGTTCCGAGATCAGGTAAGTGTTTCTTGGTTAAGCACCGGAGTGAATAAAAAACTTTAGTGAATCCTGGAAACCCTTGTCCTACGGGATTTGAAAGATGTCTCGGACAGTCGACTTGTACTAATGGAGTATGCGAATGTCCTTTCGGGACCTATCCATCACAATCAGAATGCCTCCCAATCCGATCAGCCCAAGCAGGATCTCCTTGTAATGCGAATATTAGATGCCAAGGTATAGCATCCGTGCTCCTATATTATACTGAACGTTTTTTTAAAGGGTTATCCATTTGCGTGGATGGTTTCTGTCAATGCCCTTCAGGATTAACAATAGTTGATGGAGAATGCCGCGCAGCAACTCAAGTAGCTCCCGGCTCCAGTTGTGCTAATAACGAAATTTGTGCCGGTGGAAGTGTTTGTATTGGACAGGTAGTTTCAGACACAAAATAACCTAGCAAAAACAATGTACATTCAGGTATGTGCTTGCCCTCAAGGGACTCAAATATCTGATGGGATCTGTCGAAGGGTTGTATCAGCATCTCCTGGGCAATCATGCTCGCAAAATGAGGTAATAGTCAGAATTTATTAGTTATTTATATGTTTTTTATAAGATATGTTCGGGTGGTTCGAATTGTCAAAATAGCGTATGTGTCTGTCCACTGGGTACTGTCAACTTTCAAGGATCTTGCCGATCCACAGGAGCGTCCTTGGGTCAATGTGACAGTCAGCAGCAGTGCTCTGGAGGAGCGTATTGTGATGTATCCAGGAATCAATGTGTCTGTCCAGGTTTTTCTGATCATATACATATTTTTCATTCATTTTTTGCTATCCGAATTCAGATGGTACAATCTTAGTAGGATCTTTATGTATTCATAATCAACAATTGTCCACTACTCTTGATACTTCGTGCACCTATGACGCCGATTGTCAACGTGAAAGAGTTTGCGTGATGAAAAAGTTGGGAAAAGTATACTTACTTTTTTTTACCTTATTTTCTTAGATGTCAATGTATGTTTGGAGAGCTATCAGATGGAAATTGTCGGAATTTATGGTCTCAACGGAAGGTTTTGAGATCTCCATCACCACAGGTTGTTCACATTCAGAAGTTTCTGAATTGCAGTGTTTTCAGAAAAACCCAATGAGGTTATCTGAAGAAAAACGGAAAAAAATCATCCTGCCAGCTTCACGCTTTGTGGATTCCTCTGCTCTGTCTGAGACTAAACCCCGAAAAAATCACGGTCATTAACACTACCAAATGCATGCGTGTGCACCCTAATTTTCCCCAGTTTTTTTTGTTTCTTCCCAACTTTATAAGTTTGGTTTCCTCAGTTGATATCGGTGGGAACTGCTTACGAGTCGGAATAGCGTGTGGAGGAGGATCTATATGTGTCGCTGGACACTGTGTTTGTCCATTGGGAATGACTCCTAGCAATAATGTTTGTGTTCAACATCGTACAGGTTCAACTGCAAATGATCTTAGTAAGCAGTTTTTTGTTTTAGCTCTTCCCGGAGAGGCATGTGGAAACGGAGAAGATTGCATAGGTGATTCTGAATGCGATTTAACACACAGACGTTGTGAATGTGTGAAAGAAACTCAAATGGTCTTTCTGAAGCTTATATTATTCGTTTCATATTTATCTTTTTTAGATAATAGGAAAAACATGTCAAGAGAGATTACGCTCTCACCCCGGCTACCCTTGCTCGAACAATGAGTTATGTGTTGGAGGTTCATCCTGCCGAAATGGTAGATGCTCTTGTGCAGAAAATGAAATCGAAGTTAATAAGCAATGTGTATATAGACAGTTAGGTAAGTATAAATGATGGCAATTGTTGTTGACGAGAAACTTCATGTTGTGCTGACTACAGCTTCATTTTGATTGTATTTTTTGGCTAATTCTAAATTTCGTATACCAAATACGTGTGAGACTATAGATATTCAGTTGCCGCTGGTGAAATATGTGGCAACGGGGAAGAATGTGGAGGAGGATCAGAGTGTAACTACTCCCTGAAGAAATGCACTTGTAAACGTGGCTATCAGCTCTTGGATGGAGTAATAAGAAGATTATTTTTTTCTGAAATTGTTCATTGTTTCAGAAATGTGTTTATCTAACCGTCGTAGGACCCGGAGATTCATGTGCTTCAAATCTTGTTCGTTGCGGAGGAGGTTCGTACTGTGCGCGAGGCCGCTGTGAATGCAGCCCTGCAACCGTTCCAGTTGGTGGCAAATGCACCAAACAAAAACAAGGTTCGATCAGTCGTTAATTATAATGACTTCATGTTTATTGGATTTAGTGCCCCCCGGAAATGTCTGTACATCAACGGACACCTGTACAGGAAAGGCTGTTTGCCGAAATGGAATATGTCAATGCTTGTCGGGAATGGTTTTACGTTCTGGAAGTTGCGAAGTTAGGCGTAAAGGTATATTTTCGTTTCATTTATTCGCTTTCATTTATATTTAAGTTATGCCATCTGAAACTTGTCAACCCGGTGACGAATGCTTAGGAGGCTCGAAATGCAATGGCTTCATTTGTGAATGTCCTCCTGGACAAATAGGAAGAGATGGAGTGTGCAGACCTCGTCAAACACGTGAGTTTGCCGAAAATGTTCAAAAAGAAGGAGTAACTTTTCAGGAAGACCTGGACAAGTTTGTCATCCTGAAGATATTTGCGTAGGGTTAGCATATTGTTTGGACGGTTTGTGCCAGTGCAAAGCCGGAGAGCGAATTAAAGACGGCAAATGCATCAGAGGAAAATACAGTGGGCTTTGATGCAAATTTGAAATATTCAATTGCCTTAAATATTTTTTAGACTCAAACTCTCTTCAATGCATGCTTTTTTGAGTATTTTTTTGTTATTTTGATTTATTTCGGGACTCCTGTTAGGAAACTTAATATTTACGAACAGTTATTGAATTAACATATTTCAGTCATTGCTGGTGGTTCATGTACCGCTTTCGATGAATGCCAAGGTGGTTCTGTTTGTATTGGCGACATATGCTCTTGTCCCCAAGGAAAAACACTGATTGGGCAGCAATGCAAAGAAGTTCGGAGAGGTAGTTTTGAATTATCAGTCTTTCCAATATCATTATTGTTGAAGTCCCTCCTGGTCAACCATGCAATCAAACGTTTGTCTGCGATTTTGGTTCAGTTTGCGATGAAGAGAGACAAATGTGTAAATGTCCTGATGGCGCGCAGAATAGATCTGGCAGATGTTTAATAGTTGCCGACCGTGATAGGAAAGTTCCGATCATTGGTAAGTACGCATGATAGATGTTGCATGTTTTTTTTTATGTTAACTTTTATGTTATGTTTATGTTCAGTCCCTGTAAACCACAAGCGTGTAAGCATACCAAGCCCATTTTCGCCTTCAAAAACAATATCGACCACCATTGCGCCTCGCGGCACAACAGCTAGCAACACGTTAAGTTGTCTTCATAACTCTGATTGTGGGCGTGGTGCAATTTGTCGGGGTGGAGCATGTGTTTGTCTGAGTAATATGATTATGAAAAATGGAAGGTGCATACTCATTCAACCAGTTTCCAATCGGAAGAGACGTGAGAATTTTGATTTATTTACTTCTGTAACACTCGGAATTAGTAGGATTACTAAAAGAACCTTGCGTAACGGATGAACAGTGTGCTGTCCAAAATTCATTTTGTCTCCCAATCGGAATATGTGGATGTCAACCTGGTTTCCGCGTTTTTGGATCAACTCAGTGTATCAGAAGAATGGAACCTCTGAGCGCTAAAAGCTTTTCGCTTCCAACTACAACAATGTCTACAGTATCATCCCCTCGTTCGCTATCTCAAAGGACCAGTTCAACAACATCGTTCACACCAATACCTTCAACCACTGTTTCTTCAACCGCCCCAACAACAACTGTTACGATCTTCCCAGTGAAAAGAACTACGATCGAGAAATCAGTTGAAACTGCAGAGTCTTATGGCTCAAAACCTACCGAAATTGTTCAAAGATATGTTCTTCCTGGAGAAGAATGTAACAGGCAACTAGAATGCATTGTGGGATCTGTTTGCATTGAGGGAATATGTCGGTGTCCTCCAGCATTCTTATTGGTGAATAATATGTGCATCCGAAGGAAAACACATATAGTCGGTAAGGGAAAAACAGTATATTTATTATTTGCCTTTGTTTTCAGTTCCTCCCTCATCGAGCTGTGCATTGGGTGAAACTTGTGGAGGCAACAGTAACTGCCAAGGAGGAATTTGCATTTGTATTGATGAATTTACGCTCTTCCGAGGAGAGTGTAGAACATTACCAGAAAGTAATATTACAACCTTTTTTTTCCCATTTTCCATGTATCTTACTTTCAGTACATTCTCTGATTGAACGAGAATCCTTCATAAGGCTAACCACTGTTCCTGTGCGTAATAAGTTTCATAGTCTGAAAACTACGAAAGCTCCAACATACTCTACAAGTTCTTTTGCGACAATCACTACCACTGTAGAACTACCAACCACTACTCCTCTTTCGACATCTACAATAGTAGCGACAACCGAAACATCAACTACAGAAGCAGCAATAACGACGACGACCGAGAAGTCGTCGATTCCCTCTTCCACTGCCCAATCTGCGATAACATCCGTTATCAAGGAGACTGAAGGGACCACTAAGGCTCCTAAGACATCTCCTCCAGCTCTTCCTTACATTATTGATCCCTTCATGCCATTACCCGCAGTTTCTACAGTTTTAACTCCACGTCCGTCATCTTGGTTCAAAAGTGTGTTTTTGTGTTATGTACTAAGTTTTCTCTGTTTTTTTTAAGTTGCGAAGCCAGGACATAGTTGCGATGTCATGACATTCTGTACTAACTGTTCTATTTGTATTGATAACTCATGTCAATGTCCTGAAGGTTTAGAGCTTCAAGGGGGGAAATGTTTAAGTCCTATAGATGGTATTTCTGTTTCACCTACATTTTATACCGTTATTCAATATCTTGTTTAAGCTCGTACATGTATTGCGTCTAATCACTGTCCATCAGGAGCCGAATGTGTTAGTGGCGTATGTCGCTGCCAACCAGGTCTTGCACTTAGTCGCTTTGGTTTCTGTATACCGCTAACATATGGTACGTTTCAATAACGGCTTGTTGTGAAACTATTCATTTCAGTTGATCCTGGTATGTCATGCTTGGAAGGTGAGAAATGTCGAGGTGGAAGTGACTGTCGAGATGGCATCTGTGAATGTCCTGATGGAATGAATATTCGGGATAATAGATGCGTGCCCTTCTCTCGAGGTAAGCAAAATCTAACATTAAACAAAATAAATTAACCTAATTGGTACTGGTTGTTTGAGCATGATTTGATTATTAATATCTTAACACTGAAAAACAAATTTTTATTAACTATGAGTGCATGCAATTCTAATACAGTAAAACGAAGGATTGCTGTGGATAATATACTTCGAAAAGATGATAGCGAATTCTCCGAACGAATGGTCAATGTAAGAAGTCATATGTCCACACTCATCTTATGTTATCAATTTAGGCTGAAAATATCATGAAGCAAACGGTTTCCGCACGCTTACCTCTAGGAGACCGATGTTCTTCTTTGTCAAGTTGTGCGAATGGAGGAATTTGTTCCTCAGGCATTTGCCAATGTCGAGAAGAAATGGTTCAGGCATCTAGTAACTGTATATTGAAATCAACAAGTATCTCATCTCGTCATTCTGATCAAAAAATTCTCTCTCAGTTTCTTCTCAAATAGCGAAACCAGGTGATCGTTGCCAATCTGGTGTTTTTTGTGACGGTGGCGCAAGTTGCGTCAGCTTTCAATGCATGTGTCCATCTGGATATTCAATTGTTTCTCGTGTTTGCAGTCCCGTGCTCTGTATGTTTCTTATCTCCAAATGGTCTAGTCAAATCTTCCATTTAAGCAAAAGCTCTTGAGAGCTGTAACAAAGGGGAAAGATGCAGTCACGGATCCATATGTATTGCTGGTGTATGTACATGTCCTAAAGGATTTATTGCCATTGAAGGCAACTGCATATCTGCCGGATCTTCTAACGTTGCTAGTATATTACAAAAAAACATCTCAGCTATTTTCTTTTCTTTTAGAATCACCAGGTATCAACTGCGCTTTAAATCCGAACGTGTGCACAGGAGGCTCGTATTGTATACAAAATGTGTGCACTTGCCCTGTCGGAACAGAGAATATTGGAGGTTTTTGTTTGCCACCTACATCAGGAGTTGTCAGCTATGGTGAGTTAAAAGTTCTTATGACTCTAAAATTTGTTTCTCTACCTCAGCTTCCCCGGGAGGCATCTGCGTAGAAGGACAGATAATTTGTACAGGCAACTCGGTTTGTGCGAATGGCTTTTGCGTTTGCCCGGGCGGCGAACAGATTAGGTAGTTCTGCAACATTCTTTTTTCCTGATGTTTACATTTTAGGAATGACATTTGTGTTTCGATTGATTCACAGGCAGATCCTGGACAAATGTGTGAAGCGGGAATAACAGTCTGTACCGGAAACTCATTGTGCCAAGACGGAACATGCAAGTGCCCTGAAGGACAAGTATAGAGATTCAAAGTTTCTTGAACCTAAGCTGCTCGATTAAGACATCTTTGAATGGACAGTGTGCGCTCATCACAATTGTTAACACTACACCTAATCCATCTTGTACTTTACAATGTCCACTCAATTCTTACTGTTTCAGTGGACGTTGCTATTGCAACCAAGTAAGGTCTAAACTTAAATACTTCATCATATTCTGCAGGGTTATTCTCTTGTTAATGGTCAATGTGTTCTTACGAATAGCTGCCCTAATCCCTGTATGGCAAATTCTGCTTGTCAACAAGGAGCATGCGTATGCAATCCTGGGTATAATCCGAGTGGAAATCAGTGCCTACCAAGTTATGAACCTTCCCCTGGTATTCTTTTCTCGGAATATAATAAAAAAATTGCAACAGTTGCAGAAGTCGGGTTACCAGGCCAACAGTGTGATTTGAGAGTTGGGGCAATGCTCTGCCGTAATGGGGCTCTTTGTGTTAATCAGCAATGTGTTTGTCCTACAAATATGGTGGTCTACCAACAGTCATGTGTTCAATACCTGTCGGATTCCTCGCCTGGGCAGAGTTGTGCATCTCCAGGTATCATCTGCAGAGGTGAGCTTATATTTTGATACGTCTTCTATTTTTGTTCCTAGGAGGTTCTTCCTGCTCCGCTGGAATATGTAGATGTTCATATGGTTTTTATCCAAATAATGGAATGTGCTCACCAAACTTCGTTTTCACTTTTGTAGCTAATCCTACAACAACCCCCACGCCATACCCATTTGAATGTAAGTAGAATTTCATTTGCCTCAAGACGTCATTGTAATTTAGTACGTCCGGGTTCTCCTTGTGATGCTAGATGTGAATATTCACCTTGCCTCCAGCGATGTGGTGCTGGATCCCAATGTGTGAACGGATTTTGCACATGCCCTGTAGGGAGTTATGAGTTTGATGGTTTATGTGTTCCTCTAGCAATTGATCCTGTCACAGTAAGATTATAGAAACCAAAAAGTTATTAAGACTGATCTTCAGACGTTTTCTCCTATTTCTACAGCGACTTATAGAACAGCAAGACCAGGCGATAGATGCGATATTAGCATATTATGCACAGGTGGATCGTCTTGTATTGTAGGAACCTGCACTTGTGATGAAGGATATACACCAAAGTAAGCTGGATAACAAATGTATTTTTAAAACACATACCAACTCCAGCATTGACCGTACTTCGTGTATGCTGATTAATATGCCTCAACAACAACGCTCTTATCCGGGGGAATCGTGTTCTGCAGATTCAGATTGTATTGGAAATTCTTTCTGCACTTCCAAAGTTTGCTCTTGCATGAATGATGAAGTTGTTAGAGATCGCAAGTGCACACGCCGTCGGTCGAATCAAATAGTAAGATTAACAATAAAAATAATTTTGCTGATCATCCTTTCTGCAGATGTATCCCGGTTCACCGTGCACTTCATCGTCTTCGTGTCAAACTGGATCCCACTGTGTTCGAGAATACTGTATCTGTATGCCTGGTTATACAACCAATTCAAAAGGACAGTGCGTTCCTGAAAGTTTATCAGACACTAAATCAGGTTCATCTCAGGAAAATATCATATTTTTTTAGTTCATAATTGTTATAGCACTTCCTGGTGCTTTTTGTGTTGTGGGATCACACCCATGCGAAGGCGGCTCCTGGTGTAATGATGGAAACTGTTTATGCCCAATTAGTACATCTAATCGAGGTAATGGTCGATGTGTTAATGGTGAAAACAACAGAACGTCTTCCAATGATGGTAAGATCATACTTTTCTATGTATCAGTTAAACAAGTTTACTGCAGTGCTCCTTGGACAGCCTTGTAGTTTACAAACGGACTGTTCTACAACTCTACTGCACTCAACATGTATCAATTACCGATGTCGGTGTGACTCTGCTTATGAAGCTAAAGATGGACAATGCGTTCTACGTTCTTCGTGTACATTGTTTTTCACCGTCCAAATAGAGCTAATTTTGATGTTTAGCAAAAAAAGCTTGTGCATCATACCGAGACTGTGACTCTCCACGTGTTTGTTCATCAGCTGGCTTTTGTGAATGCCCGTTCACGATGACCGAAATAGAAAATGGGGTTTGTGTATACACGAACAATGAAGGTAAAAAAATTTATAATAAAATTAATTCATCAAAGTTTCAGTTCCAAATGGCTCATGGTGTGATTCCGTGACAGTAAAATGCCAATCTCCTTCTGTTTGTCAAAACAGTGTTTGCTCCTGCCCCTCAGATTATATCCTGAGAGATTCTCTATGCATTCCACGATCTAACTCATTATTCTAATCTTAAATATAATTACTAACTAGCATGTTCGAGCGAAGAGCTATATTAACAGCACGTCTAGTTTATAATAACTAATTTATATTTAGAGTTGATGAAAACTGGAAACTTTTTTACTTTCAGATATTTTGTCTTCCATGAATAGAGAGCTCAACACTCCTTGTCCAACTACTAGCAAATCGTCCCCAAAACTTCTCTAAATTTCTGTACAATGTGAAAATTTCCTTTGTGTAAATGGGTTATGTTTGATCTACCAGCGTTTATTGGCAATTTTTCAAAGAAAAATCGCAAACAGTGAGCCAACCACCATCATTTAGGAGCCATTTCTGGTAATTTGAGTTATGATGTCAGTTCTTATGTTTTCTGTTGTTGCATGTTTTTTTTTGAGAATTAGAATTATATGATTTATAAGAATAAATTTCATGATTGCATAGTCAATACATAGACTCTGTTATTTTGTTTTTTGAAGTTGAACACTAGTTTTCGATAAAGAATTATCAGCGACAATCTGAAAACTTTATTGTTAGAATGGGATTGAAACTTACAATACCCTTCTAGGAAGTCTTTGAAGCAGAGTAAGATTAAACAGGCACGCAGTAATTCTGTTGCAATGAATCCACTCTTATCCAGAAATAGAAATGGCCACGATGTTAAGTAAGTAATCGAAGTAAAAAGCAATTGTAAATAAGAAAATATAAAAGTTTTCACATTTTTCCGGAAAATATTGTAGTTGTGAAGACGTGTGCTGTCACTTTTGCACTACAATAATGGTTATTGAAATGAATGAAGTCGATCACTACCTTGTAAACTATAATCGCTATTAAAGTGATTAAATTCACGATGTGGGAGAGGGTTGTACACAATGGGTCATATACCATCGCGTATTGTGCTATTTCTCCCAACCATTTTAGAGGAGAATAGATAGCTGAAGCAATTATTTTCTGATTATTTTTAGTAAGCTACCTATCAAATGAGATGTTTGAAGACACACAGCAATAACGATGGGGGAACATATGAAAAACTGATGCAAAGTGACGATGAAAGCCTATCAAGAGCGATTATCAACTCACCATAGAGTTTGTTGGACTGAAGATTTGATTGTATACATCCCATTTCAGAATTGCAATGCAACGATTTATGGACAATAAAAGTTCAGATCCAGCATAATATGCGGTGATGAACTGGATAAAATAGAAAAAATCATGGTGAGAGGGGCTGTAATGAAAGTTTCAACGTGCGAACGAAAATGCAAAACCTGTGTGAGTTATCTTCGTATATATGTACAATCAGATAAATGCTTGAAGAAGCTATATGAACTATCGAACGAGAAAGGCAAATGGTTGTAAAACAATTCTGATGACTCTTCTCCACGACATACAAACGAATGAGTAAAATATGGAAAACAATAGCAACAATAGCCACCAGCTTCAACTTCTTGTTGTACAAACAGATATATACTACTAACTCACGATGAAGACGCTGAACCAGAAATTGACACCAAATGTAGTCATTCTTTTTCAATATCACACTATTCAGATGCTACAGATGTATGAAACTTTACAGTAAGTTAACAACCATTTACACCCAGATAAAAAATGATAACAACGTTCTTGAAGATAACAATAGGATAGTGTTTGAACAGAGTGATCTCGAAAGAGTAGATGAATGCGGTATGGCTCTCATTTGCTGTGTAGTTGAACAAGAAAAGTTAGTTGCTTATCTTACATATAATTTTATATTGTTTTTCAGATGATTAACAAGTGATAGCTGTTCCTTAGAACAGTGAGATTGGGATATGAGCTTCTCTTGTCTTCTAGCTATGCTTCAAACAGAATTCATCCATAATTTAGGCATGAAACTTTAATAAGATGAAAAAATAATCTGAAAAAACTGTGAATTATATCATTGCTTAGATGGTTGTTCCTATTATTTCTTTTAATTACTAATGACATGGTATTTGGTAAAATGAGGAGCTGATACCTATTTGCCCTAGCAGTTCGCTTCGTAAGGTTTGGCTCATCAAACTTGTAGTTTGGTTTGTGTTCCAGAGCATCTAGATCATCTGTTGTTCAGTCTTTTTCGAAACATTTTTTCCACTTAACGGTTCTATTGATTGAAATATTTGGGGAAATCATTGTTTTACCTATTACTTTTGTTCTTATTCTGAATCGTAGTGTGAAGAAGCTTTATCCGTATTGCCAGTGTGATCGTGATGAAAATCTGACTTTTCTATTCTTAGTGCTTATTCTTCAAAATCCCTTTTGAGTTTTTTGTTGATCATTCGTCGTTTAATTATGTTTGAGCCTGCATGAGAAGGGGGTTTGCCTGTTCTGGATTTCGTGTCAGCAGTTCGCCAAGTATGCGGAGAACCATACCTTACCTCTGTAGCTTGTTGACTCTCGAATTATGTAGATGTGTCACACAACAAGTTTCTCTTTCTTCTTTCGAGCGATTTTTATAATCGTTTAGGTGCATTCAGTCTCATAACTATAATAGAGGATGTTCAGAACTTTGGATGTAGTTGAGCCATCATTACACGATCTCTTTACGTTTTCTTCTGTTCGAGTAGTGTGACATCCTTAATGATCGATTGTTGCTAAAGGGCGTGTGGTCTTTCTCCATAAGCCTCATCCACCTTACATCGATAGTGTTCTCAATCCCATCCAATACTGTTCCTGAGTTCTGAGCGCAGTTTGCTTTCTATCATTTTCTCCATATTTGCGTAGAAAAGTGAAGTTTCTACTCCTGAGTCTGGAGAGATATGAGACAACGCTGTGGATTAGCCAGGAACTCTGTTTTTTTCAGAAGGAAAATATGGCTTTTCCCCAATTTCATTGTAATTTTTTAATAAAATTTTCTGGTTTTGTTCCGAGGCCACCTTGCCTCAACCCATTTTAAAATATTAAAAATTCTGATCGCGGTGAGACCAATTTGCTGAAAATTTCAAAATTTGTGAAAAATTGGAAATTTTTTCAATTTAATTAAAGCTTTTCTTCATTTAATCTGTTTTATATATATTATTTTCCGATGTTAAAGTAGTCCAAAAGCGTTAATTCACAAGAAGAAGACAGCTTCCTCCCGGTATGCTGTTCCGTTTGAAGTTTTTTTTGTTTTCTTTCCTGGAGATTCTAAAAGTATATTTCAAGTTTAGCTTTGTTTGTGGCCTTTGTTACGTTTTGCAGTGAAAATATTAACGATCTGCCTGGTTCTTTGTACGCTCTATATATAGAAGATTTAGATCATTAACTGATA